CGCCCCCCTTGCCCCCACCCGTTATATAAGACGGACTACAGCGGACACGACGGCTTTGCGCGAGCCTGAAGTCATCCTCTCTCTCTTTACTTCCAAGACATTGTTAAGTCCAACAGTTTGGACAAGGCAAGATGATTTCGACGGAACTCGTCAGCAGCTCCTCACTCCGAACCACAATTTTGAAAAATGAGATTTAGGCACAGTGTCTACTTTGAGAATCCGACTGAACACGTAGACGCCAAGGGGCTTCTTCTCCCGTGTGCTGAAATCAGAAAAGGCGCGCTGCCGCACGTTGTTTTGGCTGCGCAGATTCTCCCAGTGACTCAAGTTTGTCGCCCTTTCATGAAACGTACGCCGGATTCTCCCGGAGGCTCAAGCATCTTTTCTCTTGTGCGCTCAGGAGGCTGTACTACGAACTTGCGCGTCTTCAATGTGCAACGTCAGATTGTACGCCTGATTTGATTGACTGAGTCCGCTGGTGACGAGTGTTGGCGGCTTGAAGTTTGTCTGGAAACCGCCGCTCACGATAACCGCGGTTTTTAATCATGTAGGCAATGGTGAGATTTCGAATCATTTGTTCTCATTTATGATATGAAATCCGTAGAAGTGACGTGCCTGCATTTGCTGCGAGGCATGTTGCTCGGCAGAGGGACCGAAAGGGTGCGCATGGCGACATTATATACCCTGTTTATTGTGTAGAAACGCAAAATCCGCTTCGATGTACCCACAGTGGCCTTTTGACAATTTATTGAGCGAGACAACACCCAAACAAGGTGTTTTATTAGCAGAAAATATGTTATAAAATGGCGGCTACAGATACCTCCTATGTTCGCTCGCCATAATTGTCACATTGCAAGTCTTATTGCGTTCAAGGTGTAATGGAATTGCTCTCAACCGGAACATTTACATTAACACGTGCAACTTTATCGCACCGCCCGGAATACGCCATCCGCGAGAAATGGTAATATTTTGTAATTCCATAACTGCAAAAATTCATTCCTGCCTGCTCGCGAGACGTCTACAGAGATCAATTTGAGACAAAAATGTATGCAATGCAATCATACCGGTTTCTTTTCTTTCTATTTTTTTCTTTTTTTTTATATAATACAGTGCTGTACTTGAGAGGCTATGACAGTAATAGTCATAGGATTCATCTGCATCATCTAATATTTCACCTTGCGTTGCCAAAGGTCTCTCTGCTGATGTGAGAAAGCGCCAAAAAGTGGAAGTTGAAGGCTGCGGGATATGACGCGCATCTGCATATCAAAGCGGAAGAGAGGGCGAGGTGGGGAGGGGGAATTAGGTGAATAATAACCTGCATTTACATCACACTAGAAAAATGTATAAAAAAAAAAAAAAATAAGAGCGCGTGCACAGGGAGCAAGTCAGTCATAAGGACAAAGCTTTTGTTCCTTTCACAAAAAAAAAAAAGTCTCAGCGGATTTGATAAGCGGCGTAAGCGCTTCAGTGAACTGACACCGGGTAATACACATGTTTAAATAGCGGGTAGTGGGTGGTGATATCCTGGTTAGACTGGCAGGAGTGAAACAGAAGAAAAAATGGGGGAAAAAAAAGGTCATGTCCATTTGATGGGCACATCATGAAAAGGTGGCAGCTCAAGGGGGATTCCACACAAAAGCGGAGCGGTAAGCGTTCCCAAAGATCCGTGCTCAATATTTGATATTTAGTTGCTCAATTCGTGCCCTTTATCAGCCACCACTAAATTACATTTAATGCAACTATTGTAATAATTTCAACAAACAACGTCTGGGCGTGACACGAACAAATGTGTGCGTTTCTTGGCCTGCGCACGCTGAAGTCTGTACTAAGGTCTAGCGCCTCCTGAAGGAAAAAAAAAAAACATCATATTGCACGTTTTGACTCACTTCACAGCCTTGGCGTTTGTCTGAAACCGCCACTCACAATAACTGCAGTCACTCATTCCGTGTTATTTTTAACCCAGTAGTTTTCAGGCAGAAGTACTCGGATGGGCAATGAGCACTCAACGAATACCACATCTAAATCACGGCCCAAATAATTATGTCGGAGAAATGGTCGCTTGTGATTGCAGCAATTCCACTCTGGTGCGACAAGTGGCGGAAATGCACATTTCAAAGGGGTTAACAACTGCCAAGCGGATTCGAGGGGACAGTCGATGGGAAAATGACTTTTTAATTGATTGGATACAAATGGGTCCCATGAAGTGCCTGGCCACCGATTACGTGTGAAATGACGAGTAAATCAATTCCACTGACGCGCGCGTATGTTCCTGGACATGCGGCAAAGACTCTCCGTAACTTTCCTAACCGCACTAGCTTAGTTAGCCCTGATATACAAATCTCGTCTCTCGGTCAAGATGTATCACGTCTCCTTTCGGCTGGTTCATGAGACTAAGTTGCACATCTAAGCACCACGAATGTTTCAAACAATCATACGGTTACACAACGCACTGACCGGTAAGCCCGAGGGTGCGTTTAGTCAAGCACAACTATCAAGACGTGCGAGGAGGGGGGGATTGGGGGGGCAACCCAGCTGTGTCCTTGAAAAGCATCAATGCAGTGTGCATGCAAATGAGTGAGTCGAAGGCAGTCAAACACAACGTGTGATACAGGCCTGGCGCACTTCTGCGTCGATACTCTTATCACCATCTCGGTTGTGTGATAACAAGAGCACTTGCGTGCCACATATGACTTATTAACCGGCCGCCCCTTGGAGGAGGAATATGACCCGTTTGACATTGGATCTGCCGAGAGGGGGAAAAAGTCTCAATGCTAAATCATGACGAGTCTCTCGTCCGCTTGTCACTCAAGACACGGGAAGTGTTGCGCACACACGCCAGGGCACAAAACTTCACCGTGGCGAGAGCTATTGTGAGACGTTGAGGCGCTTTTCACCCGGGAGCATTTTTAAAACTGATAAAGGTTTCCGTTGCTTCCCGATGATGTCTCTTCGGAGACGTGGGGAATAAGCAGTAAATATGTGAAGCAAGGCTCAAGAGAGGATCCTATATTCAATATACACCGGCACATGAGGCTGGCAAAAATAATGAGCTGAAGTGGCATGCGGGGGGACCCCTGAGGTCTTCCAAAATGTAGCTTGACAAAACTGTGCCTCTCAAGTCTATAAGATACGAACACGAATGGAGTTTGAGAACATAGCAGGAACACATATTTTGAATGGACACCCCCTGGAGTGACTCAAGTAAAACTTTGATTCATGCATCTTCAAGAAAGACGCTTTTGAACAAATGTCCACTGTGGTGACTTGGGCCTGCTGTATAGCAGGGAAATTCTTTTGAGTGACAGTCCACCGCAGTGACATGCCACTTTTTTGGGGCAATGCATTTCGGAAATTAGTTGAAGTACAGTTGAAAAAAATGTGGCATTGTCCCACCAAGAAATGAATGAACCCCAGAAGGAGATTGACACCATTCATGGATGAGAAGGTTAAACAAGTGTAACCACGAACACAGTTTGGCTTGTTTTGACACTTATTATATCGATATGTAAATGACATCCGTATGAAGACGCGGGCTAATTACCGGAAAGTCATCTGAAAGATCCGTCCCAGGTTGACCTGTTGGCTTTTGTTGTCGTATCCATGCAGCATTTCGCCGAACAAGGTCACGTTGAAGTGGATGGCCTGCCGCGGACATTTGGGACCCTCACAGTTTTCGGACTGCAGCGAGCACGAGCGCCCATCTGCCGCCAGTTTGTACTCCTGCACACACCTGAAGAAGCGATGGGGGTGAAAGATTTTCCATTGTGACGTATCGTATGTCATCTGGCGGATACAATGACGAGATAACGATATTTAACAGACAGAAGACCGCCTCGAGTTTCATGACGGTGCCTCCGCGAGGAAATAAAAGGAGCTAATGTGCTGTGACACCGTCCCCGAAGCGAAGACCCGCTCAAGGAGGATTAGAATATCCTTCACCTGTCATTTCCTGACTTTTTGCCGAGCGGGTTTACTGGATGAGTTATGCAAATGGATCAGCAGATGGCCATCACCACATTATCCTGCCCATTGGAAGTCCGTAGAAACTGTCTGAACGATGACAGCCAATTAAAGGGCTTTTTCTACCAAGTTAATTAGCAGTCGGATCCGTATCACCGTACAGATCTCTGATATGTGGCATTTGCATCACTCTGGCATCGATTCATTCTACCTGGCTAATAGAGCAACCGTCAATGTCAAAAATGACCGCATGGTGGCAAAATCAAAATCACGTGTTGCAGTGAGATGATCGTACATGGACTCCGATGTTCAACGGGGCGTGTTAGGGAAATGTGAATTGTAGTTTCTTGTGCAGTGTAACTACAACTTAGCACAACTGACAGAAGGCAGAATTGCACCCTGGACTGGTTGCCGGTCACGCACATGGCACAACTGTTTCCATGAACGTGTACAATTTAGAGTCTCCGATTTAGAATCAGGTTTTGGGATTGTGGGAGGGAAACCCATGCGAGCCAGAGGAACGGCGGATTTTCAAATCCAGATGTGAGGCAGATGTGATGATTTTCATCGGTCGGAATGAAAAGGTTAAAGATGAAACCAAAGCAAAACCGTCCCCACGATGCACTTGGATAAATCAACAGCGTATGCCCGTCTCGCTTGTTGGAGCTAATTCCATGCAGCTACGCCAGAACTGCCTGAAAAAAATGAAATTTTAAAGGAAACGTCCATTTTTTTTTACACAGCCTTGCGACCAGTCCAGGGAGAGAGGCTCCAGCTGTCAGCAACCCTGAACAGGATACATGATATCGAAAATGCACGGGAGAGGTGCTCTAAGCCAGTAGCAAAGTTTGCAAAGAATATTTTGGGCACAGTTGAATTACCAAGTGATTTAAAAAAAAAAAATCCTCACCCGCAGTACATGAGCACGTTGCTGGAGCCGGGCTGGTCTTCGAGGGGCACGAGTTGCTGGTGACACAGCTGCTCGCAGCCTCCGTTAAAGCCGTCCGTGCAGTCGATGCCCCTTGAGTAGTCATAGCAACCGGAGCCGTCCTTCATTGGCCTCAGCCCATTAGGACACTGCACGGGAGACACACAGGCCAAGAGGAGGAGGTGGAGGAGGAAAAAGAGAAGGCAGAGGGGCGATAAGGGAGACAGAAGAAGCGAGGAAAGCACAAGGGTCAGCACATGCATTTTAATCAGGCGCCACTGAGGAGGCACAGGTAGCGGCAGAGATCAGAGTGGAGGAGTGAGCAGCGGATATCAAGAGAGAGGGAATCAAAGAAGTGAAAAGTAGAAGCAAAAAAAAAAAAAAAAAATTAAAATATGCATCAGCTCATTCGGCATCTGCTGTTTCCCAAGTGAAGGCCGCTTTATGTCGTAACAACAGCCACAGACTTTTTTTTTCTTTGATCTATATTATCAGAAAGCTATTCATCAAACAAATTTGTTGGATCAAACCAACTCTTCTTTAATGCAAACGTGTTTTGACTCAGAATAAATTGTCCTGCCAGGGAGACGCAATTCATATACGTACATCAATCATCTGGCCAAATATGAACAATTTTCTCTTGGATCAAAATCAACAAAACCCTGATTCCCGGACGTCCCCGAAAGATGACCCTGAGCGATCGTTGTGTGGTGTGGCGAATCTTTCACCTCCAGCTACTGTCTGGGTAAATCATAACTCTTCAACCTGTTTTATATTAATACTGGTAAATCCTCTCTTTGGGCCGAGACGCGGATTCCACGATTGTGACATGAAATGTAACAACAGGCAATCAGAAAGACACCTTAAGTTTTGCTGTTGTCGGAAACAAAGAGTAAAGCAATTCTTCATTGTGTTTCTCAGCAGCAGCAGCCCAGACATGCGGTATGGGGGTGGAGACTCACAATTGTCGGTTGGATGGATCATAATATGTGTGGAAGGCTGTGTTGGTCATCTGGAGTACACCTCCACACCTTCTCCTCGTCATGTGTGGGGTTTCTCGCATTTTAAAAACCAGTTGTTAGAAATCACGGACACCTAACGTCCACCTAGCGCCTACTAGCAGACGCTAAAAGCTCAAACGATGATGATGATGGAGTCTGTCTCGCGCCAGTGCACACGAAGCCACCTGGAGAAACTTTTGGAACAAGTCTGACATGACACCAGGATTTCAACGTCTTTTTGGAACAAAAATAAATAAATAAATAAATAACAGGAAGAGTGCATCAGCTCCATTTTGTGTGTTTCATAAATGTAATATCAACTTGAGCAGAGTGAGAATGGAGTCGTTCATCACGACGGGCTGTGTAATTTCACGAATGTCATGTGGGTTTTCGGCAAGTGAATAAAATGAGTAAAAGTGAGTAATCGTCCTCGCTGTCTCACAAGATCTTCTGCAGACACGAGTGCAAAAGGGAGCAGAGATTTTTTTTTCCCAATCCTACGTATTCCAGTCTGTTCTCTTGCAGCAACTCAACTCAGGCAGAATAGGGAGAAGCGGCAACATTTCTCAAAGAAATATCACAACACAGCCATGAACCAAGAGGGTATAAGACCAACAGTGAAGAAGCTAACGTACGATTAAGGAGATCTTTGAATGAAAAACGGACTTTTTAAAAAATGGCTTGTATTCAAACGGTCTCCAAGAGTGCCTACCCTTAAATCAAATATGAAATTCAGCAAACAAGTCAATGTTTTGCATATTTCGAACAAATGTGTCCATGAGCAAGCCATTCTGCAGCTCCGCCAAACTTGACTTTCAAGGTTCCACCGTCAAGTATGTTGAATTGACACCCATTGTGTACGAACAAAGTGTTCACAGGTCTTTGTGATTACAATGGTTTATTTAAAAAAAAAGAAAAAAAATATGTTTCCCTCTTGAAAGTTTTCAAATAGTCTCGCGCAGGTCCTTGAAATCAATTCTGAGTGTTTTCATAAAGCAAACTTGGTAGGGTGTTTACTATGCGCGCACTCTCTCTAGCAGGGCAATTACAAATGAGACATTCACTACATCGATAATTACCAGCGAAATGATGTTTGACTCCAGAGTACACTTGAGGAGATTTAAAAAAAAAAAAAACACACACACACACACAGGCACTAATTAACTATAGAAAAATGGAGCAATCCAAAGCAAAGCACGTGTTAAAAAACAACCAAATGCGCACAGCGGATCCACACCAACCAAAGTTGAGACATCATTGCTGCTCACTGTAAACGCCATTAGAGAATTTGTATAAATCTCTGAGCTAATTTTGTTTTTTTTAATCATCCACTAATTCTCTGTTTGAATCGAGAGATGAAGTCAATCCTATGGACAACTCTGCTAATGAGCTTGTTGACAAAAGTTAGTATCCCCTTGAAAGCATAACGCTTCGTCCCACTCGCAATCGCGGTGGCTCCGGTTCATCTCATCGACGATCGATGTTATAGTGTCGCATATAGCAGTATGGTAATATTACGTGGGCCAAATCATTTCCCAAAGCCTCCTTTGCGATTCACGCAGATTAAATTAAGACACGCTGGCTATTAAAATTAGGCGAGGGTGGCAGGCAGGAAGTCTCGACCCGGCGCTTGATTGCACAAAATGGTGCCAGTTAATGCTTCTTATTTCGGCTTGGAGTGAAAGCACTCTTTAAAAGCTAATGGTGCTAGTGCTGCTCTGAAGGACAGAAATGATTTGATCTTTTTTTCCAAACCTCTTTGGGGATGACATATATTTAGCGAAAGCAACACTGCATTTAAATGAGATTTTTTTTTTTTTTTAAAACACACACACGCCACTCTGTCAGCTTTCTCACTTATCTAAAAGGCTGACTTCATCTTCGTGTCTGTGCTCGCGGGAGTGACAATGACCAATCGTCTTAGAAAGGGGGACAAGGTAATAAGAACAATCTGCGCTTATGTACACTTAGCTAATGGCTCCATTGTGCAATCACCCGCACCCCACCCACCTCTTCATTGTGTGCCCCGAGGAGAGCGGCCGTGGTTTAAATAACGTCTCGGCTACACTCTGCTCTCTCCGCCGGTGACAACATAACAAATGAGGACTGAAGGTTGCTTTGTCCCGCGACTCCATCAGACTGTAGCTCAGCTTGATGGCCAAAGGTATTTAAAAGCTGCTTTCTCAGAAAGGGCGGATAACAAAGCAAACAAAGAGAGAAAAAGCCGCTTTTGTTGTGATATATAGAAAGACGACATGCACTAAAGTCTGCCGAGGTTTAGGCACATCTGCGCAATGTAATGGGATCCGACGCAAGAGCTCCATCAAAGTGGGGAAAAAACAAATGCCTTCACGAGAAAAAGTTTTAATTGACATTTAAACTGAACATATGTCAATGTTCTTTTGAATGACTAATTTGAACAAATGGCAAGCAGCACTTCCTATAATTGCGTAATCAGAGACTGTTGAAATGAAGCGACAATAGAGACTGCTGCTACTCAGAAATAGCATATTACGCAAAAAAACTAACAAAAAAAAAAAACGTCAGGGAATGTTTATTTACTCAACGATTGATGAGGACAGCAACCTATCACACCAACCTCATACATTCCCAATCGCACACTCAAAGGTTTGGCCATTGTTCGGAACCTCACAATGATTCTATTTGCGATCTATTGCGTCAATTTTTTTTTGCAACATAACATCCGCCCATTTTCTCATCTGCTTCTCTTCACAAGGGTCCCGCGACCCTGCTGCTGTCGTCATATTTGCAGCATCTGGCCAAAGGTGCAAATGCAAAGGGATGACATAATTCAGATTTTTTTTTTTTTAAATCAAACCTGTGAATTTCAAAAAGGTAGCAATCGGAAAATGAGATGTGCAGTGCAGCAGAGCAGTCGTAAACATACTGAGGCTGTCAGGGCGCAACAAGGGATTGTGGGTAATAGGTGATGACAAAACTTTCATGGGAGAGGAATCGCGATTTATCCTCCCCGCTGAGTCTTTATGCAAACCGGATAAAGCCAAGTGTTTTTCTTTTTTTCTTTTTGGGCTCCACACTTGCCATTCTTTGCGTGGACCTTTTGGTCTTGGCTGTGCAGTTTGAATACTGGGCGAGTAGAGACGCTGCAAAATGAGATTGGAGACAGCCAAATTCCCTAAAAACAGGTCAAAATGATGGATCGGGATCCACAGCTAAACAACTGTAGCTAAGCTGTCCCATAAGGTACGGCAAGTGATGGGGGATGCACCATTAAATATCACACCATCTGCTTCGGGATCTGAATGTTGTAGCGGGAGGACACCGATGACAGATGAATACGGCATAAACAAAAACATGAGCCCGGCTACACGGTGGTGTTGAAGAAAAATTTTGTCTACCGAGGCATGAAAATTACATTCATATTTTCATTACCATTGGCAAAGACAACAATTCCAGCAACGATTGTCTCTGTGAGAGTTTCACAAAAATACCATGTGCGCCTCTGCAGCATCAGCAGAAATAACGACTATCTAACAGACTTCAGATTCAACTTCGAATGTGGATGCCACGTTGCATTATTTAAAAAAAAATAGGGCAAATCCAGAGGGAGCCTCATCTACTTTACTCGCTCTGTATTTGATATCCAGTATGTCTCCGAGTCTATTATTTATTTACCTTGTTCAATCTTAAATGTACTGAACTCCATCCATCCATCCAAAATGTAAGTTGGCTTTAGTGTTGATGAAAAAGAGTGGTGAAGGTCAGGAAGCAATCACGCTTTTGAATGCTAAGAATCTGCTTAACATGCCTGAAAACGAAACAAAACATAACATCATCTTGGACAAGAATGAAATGCCTTGAAAACTTGTGCGCCGACTCCGACTAGAATTTCATTCCTTGCAAATGGATTCCAAATGCCTTGAGTGATGCGGACAGCCTTGAAGGACTCCCGTAATGGATTTTAAGCCCTGCGCGTAGCATATTACAGCTCTGCTCGCACCCGCTTTGACGAGGGTGGTTGAAATAACACCCACGCAAATGAATTTGGGGAAAAAAGAGAGAAAGAAGGGGAAAAAATAATAATACAGTGTCAGTCTGATTTTCTGAGTTAATCTTTGAAGACTGGAAGGCTTGTCTTTTTTTAAGGCGCCTTGCAGAGGTGTGTCAGGTTGTCTGCAAGTATTTTAACCGGAACCTTTCAAAACTCTGTGAACTTGAGATTGGAACCTGACGGCGTTCAGTGTTCAAGGCTTTTCTTCCATTCCTGAATTGTGTTCGCCGAGAGCCGTCAATGTTTTGAACCTGTAACCTCCTATTTCCACCTTGTTTATGTCTACGAGTGGCTCCCTGCCGGTCCTTGAGATCTGTGACTCAGATGCATGTTGACAATCTTAACTTTATCCATCAACCCACGACTTTGCATCTCGGGTTTTGTGCCACATATCCTTCAAAGGCTACCTTCAACCCCGAGGCGACGGCAATTGCAAAATGGGCACGTTAAATCCAAGGACGAGTCGTCAGTCAATCCAAGGGCAATTGTGAAAGCAAATGATCCCACACTGATTTTTTTTTTTTTTAAAGGTCTGCAAGGTGAACCACCACACTACCGTGATGGTGGTGCTGAACTATTTTAGTTAGCTAGCAGTCAGGAGAAAAATAATCACAAAAGCACGGGGAGAATCATGGAAGTTTTAGGTTTTTGTGTGTTGGCTGTCTCTGGAAAATAGCACCGTGTAAACATAATCTGTAGCCTTCAGATGGTCAATATAATAGGCACGTGAAAATGTCGAGCGCTTACCATGCAGCCAGATGAATCCAACTGTCGGTCTGACACGCACTTGAAATTCTTCTTGCAGCCGCCGTTGTCTTTGGAGCAGTCACGGACGGGCCCGAAAGATGCCAGCAAGTCCTCGACGGTCTCGAAATATGTGGACATCATGGCTTCGTCCCTGGATTTAACATTTACAAAGGGAAGGTGGGGAAAAAAAGAAAATAAGATGCCTTATGTTTGAAAGTGGAAAGGAATGCTCCACCAGCTAAACATAATCCCTCACGTCTGGATAGCACTTTCTTATAACCTTGCAGTTGTCGGTGCAATTAAGATATGAGTCACGTAGCCTTGTTTAATGAAAAAGAATGAGCCTTGATTTTTTTTTCGTTTTCTTAGAAGAAAAAAAAAAGCACTGCAATCACAAGGAAAGCGGCACTCATACTAGTCTGCAGGTTGCAAAAACAAATGTCTATTAAAATGACAGCACAGCCATTTCCCTTCAGCCATTTCTTTCGTTCATGACAGGAGCAACGTTGTCGTTGACACACTTAAGCAGAGATCATTACAACTGAACTGATAACCTTCCTCAAATTTGTCCTCACATTTGCATGGCTAAGTTTAGACTGCGTAAATGTTTGAATATGCGCCGAAGAATTTCTCATGTTGTCTTTGAGATGATTTTCATTTAAATCACTGCACGCTACGAGAGACCAACATGGAAAAAAAAACCCAAAACATGCTAGCATTAGCTTACTGCTTCACCTGAAGTATGTTACACCACAGTCTCCACCTTGAGCAGTGGTTCACTTTCTTGTTGCCTTCAGCCTCTCTGTCAATAAAATGTGTTCCCTAATGCCAGAAAAGTAAACACAAGTGACCCTCGGTCTCCTTCAGTGTTGCTGTTTGTTAGCTTGTCTCGTATTGAAGGATGATTCAATGTGGCGCCATTTTCTAGTTGATTGTGGCGCTACTATGAAGTGGAGAAATCGGGGCGAGTACAACCGCGGCGAACTGTGTACTGGAAAGGAAGCAATAAGAAGACATTTTGTCCCCTGACAAATCCAGCTCGAACGGGTTCGGAAGTGGACATTTTAAACAAACACGACAGTGCGGTCTGCTACCCGCTGTGATAAGTTTTGATACTTTGGTTTATTGAAATAGCTGAAAAGGACAAACAAACCGCACAGATTCTCACTCGGGACGAAACCGTATTTTTTCTTCTCAAGAGGCAGCATTGCTAACCGCTGGCGCACTGTGCTAGCCAGGTGAAACAGTCTCCAGGAATAGTTTTTGTAAATTCTCCCCGAGAAAATGTCAGTTTGATCGTGACTGTCAGGCTTCACTTGAGTATTCCCAGCAATGCTCCGTCAGGCTCCTGTCAGACTGGATGACGAGGTGAGCGCCCCCTGTTTGTTTAATTTTTAAAGAAACAACAAGTAATGGGCAACGGAGACCACCCGGTGTCCGGAGAGTGACTCGACTATAAACAGCTACAACATCGTAAATGACGGCGAGACGGGCGTACTGCTGACAAGGAAAGATTTCACGGTCTTCTGTCGTATTTTTTTACTGCCGTTCATTTGTCCGAAGCGGTGAAGCCGTAAAAGGAAATATCCACTGCGCGTCAACATATTCGCTTCAGAAGAGTCTGCAAACTTCCAGTTTGGCAAACTGTGATGAACAATTATAACTGGACAGTGATGGGAAGTGACCAAGTATAAATACTATACCTCGTTACTGGACTTAAGTAATTTTTTTTTTCAAGGTATCTGTACTTTAAACAAGTGTGCAAGGCCTTAATTCAATCTCCAACTGCTCTCCAATCTTCACCCAGAACATCCCATTACTTTCAGACAAGCACTCTGTCCACTTCTAATCTTAACCGTCTCTCCCGTAACAAAAAAAAAAAAAATGTGCAGAAGCAGGAAGAGTGCATCCTGCAAAGTTGCGTTTTGTAACTCTTCCGTGTCCTTAATCGTGTAGCCAAAGTGCAATTCTTGATTTACTTGCGTTTATTTATACATAATGACCTAAAAACCTCTTGCTACTTTTCCGGGTTGAGCTTATGCTTAGCACAGTAAACAAATAGCTTACGTAAACCCACACAGCAACCGGCATGCATCCTCTGCTTTTGTTGCTCCTCCACCTTGTCCTTTTTGTGTAGCTTCTCGATACTCGGAAATTCAAAAAGCCCATATGTGACATCAATTCTTTCTGCCAGGACCTCCAAGTGCTGACAAATGACTCCTTAATATAGAGGAAAAACGCAGGCTAGGGAAGGTGCGGCAGGCCAACAAATAATGACTTTGGCGCCGCTGTGAGGTGCATGCTAACCGGATTTCTGCATAGTGAGTTGAAGAGAGAAACGATCCATCAGGATTCCTGTTTCAAGACACATTGGAAACATTGCAAATCCCAGCTCGGGTGGTGTTTTTGTTATATTACGCAATACCTAAAGCGTTCCAATAAATCTGTGAGCTAAATAGGGGCCGATAATGAAAAGATTCAAAGAAATTATTTTCAACGGTATCGTAACCAGCTTGGTTGTGCCCGGAAAAGGGTCACGATGGTGGAAGCAATGGCAATTGTGCATTACTCCACCAGATGGCACTGCTTTTCTTTGTCGCCATTTTATATTTTGCATTTAATACAGAGCAGTGATTTAAAAAAAAATGCGCGTCAATAATCCTTGTTGTTTTTGGAGTGAATGTATTGCTATGCGCCAGTTATGTTTGACCCCTTTGAACTCTGCCGAGTAACACGATAAATTTGTTACGCGATGGGGATTCAGTGTGACATCACCCGAAAAATAGAATCTGATCAATTCTGCCGATTTACATCCCGAATTTCCATCCATAAACACAATTCGATTCACGTGATCGCTTCTAACTGCTAAGTACCTAAAGCGAGAGCATATCAAACAGACACGGACGTCTCCCCGCTGGTGTTTCCAAAACGGTGGACAAAGTGAAATCAATTCCATTGGAACTCGGCTGACCTCAAAAGCATATTCACGATATCGAAACAGTGACTAATGTACTACAGCGATAAATCTCGGTGCGTGCCTTTTTGCTTGCGCACATGATGAACGAGCCGGGGGAACTGCCCAAAGTTAGAGCAGTGCGGCGGCATGATTACAGAGTGTTATTGGTGTGCCCCTCATGCGCTTGATTAATGCCCCTCACAAATATGCTGACTGGTGTTGAATATTGCACATTTTCTTTAAAAAAGCAAAAACAAAAACAAAACAACAACCCCAAAAATCTCATCGGCATTGAAGGTAAAAGCAGCAGATGAAAAACAGCAGCGAGACTGCAGTGATAAAATCAAAGCATGCACACTTTTGCGATCCGGCGGCTGAGATTTATGTATTTGTTTCCGGTGTCACTCACGTTGACTAATGGAACATTTTCATGTCTGGCTTGATCGCACTGAGTGAAGTCATTCATCACATGATGCCACTCGGCTTTGGCTACTCTTGCGTATCTCTTTCGACTGACGAAAATATGGATGCGAGAGATGTCCAAAAAAAAAAAACCTGAATCACGGTTACACCCCCCAAGAGAATGAAATGGATGAGACAGTGACTGATTCTTGTTTACTGCCATTACATCAGGTAAGCGGAAAAAACAAAAGAAGTAACATTTGCAACTGTAGTGAAATGGGGGGGTGGGGGGGAGATTTAAAATGTCCTTGCAAACCTTTGAAACATTTGTCACGTTGGACACACGATTGGTAACTTTCACTCGCTTCTTTGTCGATCGTTTGCCGATGCTGTTCATTTGAATGCGTCGCCCCAAAATGGAAACGCTCCCGCAGGACACGTACGTACTTTGGCTAATGAGAAACAATTGCATTATTCATGGCAGTCTGACAGATTTCCCATGTTACAGGAACTAATCACAAACTGCTGCTACCTGAAGTGGGCTTTTAATAACTCATTTAAAAAAAAAGCAGAGCAAAATGTCCTTGTGTCATGTCTGCGAATGATGTCACTGTTTCTTAAAAGTGAGAAATTCTTAACATGTCATGTCTCATATTTCAGTTGACTGTAGTTTGAAGTCCATAGGTGAGGCGGCACCCCCTCCAAAAAAAAAAAAAAAAAAAAAAAGACAATTTGGACTCACCTGACCTCTCCGGGATCTTCGCTCACCAGCACGTCTGTCTTACAGCTGGCGATGGGATTGATGGACAGCTCCACCGGCGGCACCACGAAGCTCTTGCTGACAGGCAGCCACAAGCCTTGGCCCAGACTATAGAGTGATCTGCGTTAGCACAATCACGAGACGAACATTTCAAGCATAAAAGAAAAAAAAGCAAAAAAGAACTTCAAACATGACAATGCAACATGTTTTTTTGTCTTACGGGAAAACGCAGACCTGTTACGACACTCAACATACCTCAGCCAGCATCAAAAATGTTAACTGCACGTGTTGATCATTGTTAAAAGAAGACGGACGATGTCCCAAAGGTCGAGTGACGCTTTAGCGCTTTAAGAGTTTTTGGGTGTCTGTTGCTACTGCTAAGCAACGTTTGGATTTTGGCAAGTTTCAACTTCCTGTTTGTGTTCTCATTCCTGTTGTTTTGACACTCAGCCGGGGTAGGTATTGACTAGCTTTGAGCGAACAAAGGGACAAGAAGAAGCAGCGAGGGAAGACGTAGATCGCTACGTGACCTTCTAGACCTCGCCGCTGATTGTTTCCAGGATGTTTTGTCACTTAACCAGCAATATAGGTTGACGTGTGCTATGTTGAGTGCGTTGCTTGTGAAGCCCCCCCCACCCTCACTCGGGTCCGTCGCCCCCGTATAACGGGACCATCATAAATCAAGTTTGCTGTCAATAAAAGTACTGCATTACTGTATTCAAAATGTTGTTTTGAAAGTTAACTAAATCAAAGTACCTTTGTCACACTGCTATTTGTATGAGGAAAGGATACCATTTGTTTTTTGTTTTTTTGCCGGAAGAATCTTCAGGAGGAAAGCCAAAGATGACAATCCACAGGAGCCCAATGTGCAGGAGGGAAAGAAACAACAATCGGCCTCACCAAGAACACGGAGCATGACTCGATTTTTCATCAAGTGCTGTTTGATGTGTATTAGCAGGTGGGAAACAAACAAACGCTCGAGATGGGGGGGGGGTGACATCCGCTCAGATGCTCTCATGCAAAATCTTGGAGGATATATTTAATTAAAATCCTCTCACGTCACAGCCACATTATCGCACGCCCTTATCATAACGCGCAGCATCAAAGATGCCCCAAATGCCAAAATCGTCTTCTTAGATGCCAAATCCACCGACTCACTCGCATCGGGGAAAACTATCTCTCTGTAACAGATGAAGAAATATTTCCTGGTAAATTTTCCACGGTGCCACTTTTGCACTCGCTCATCCTCACGGTGTTTTCCAAAGCGTCCTGTGTGTGTGTGTGTGTGTGTGTGTGTGAAGCCAAACCCCCCCGCTGAGATGAAACTCTTCTTTTCAATCGCCTTGGAAGTGAAGCAGGGCGAACTTCTCCGCCCTCGTCTTTACCAGACATCCGCCACACAGACAAAAACACCGGTCTACACCTCTTAATCAATGGCTTCATCGATCAGGAGTTGTTATTCTTCCTGAATCTGCGGTCCAATTTTGTGTTTGGATTTTTTTTGTGAAATGTTATCTGTCTATAACAACGCATGTCAAGCAAAAGTGGAGGTTAAAACGCAACGGAACAGGGAGACGTAAATAAAATGTGTTACATCAGCGCTGTAGGAATGGAAGTCCGCTGAACTCTTTACTGCATAAATACGGGATATAATTGTGTAGTTTTAATCACAAGGTTAAATACTTAACAGTGCTCAGCAAAATGTTACTCCAAATTGCTGCTTGTTACATGAGTCAGAACACATCTGCTCATACTTCTTGAAAGATGTCGACGATGCCCACACGAACGGAAAATGGCAGTAAAACAAGTTGAATGGACCCACAATTGAGGTTGACAGTTTTTTCGGGAATTCCACGAGTCACGGGAAAATCGAGATTACCTTTAATGACGGGCCCGTACAGGACTAAAAAAAAAAAAAAAGATTTTCTTTGATACCATCATTTATTTTTTAAAGTGGCTGACTTCCAAAATGAGAGGAGTGGGAGTCATTTTTGCTGGGAACAGGATGGGACAGGACATTTTTTTTTTCTCTCGATAGTCGGGGAATGGGACGGGATTTTTTTTTTGTTGTTGTTGAAAATCCATTCTCCTGTCACCGCTCTAATCAACACCAGCAGGCCCGTGGTGCTGGTAGGACTAGACCTCAGCAAGAATTGCATTATCGTGTCCAGCCAGCTGTGTCTGTTCCTCCGCAGGCATCTTTATGCTCCATCCCCCCCAGCCCCCCCCCCCCCAAAAAAAAAACAACTTACTGGCAAGACGGTCAATGGGGGTCATGCACTCAGGAGTCGTTCCACAACTCACCTGAAGATTCTCTCCGGGGCTTGTTCGCCCGTAACCAGGTCGTAACCTTTCTCAAGGTTAGCGTACGGCCAAGGCCTTTGCGGAAGAAGGAGAAGGAGTGATGTCATCATATCGCTGCTCTCTTATAAAAGCAAGTACAACATTGGCTGTAGCAGATGGAACACGCTCGATGGTGCCCAAATAAAAGTGACGCATTAGAAGCTGTGTTTGCGCGCGGCTAAGATGACCGTCTGTCACCGGCCTTCTGACAAAACGGCGAACGGGAACCGGGATCGCGGCTGGACGGGATCCAGCGGACGGCAGACAGAGGTGAACGGCAATGTGAAACATGAAACATGGCCGCAGTTGCCCGCATGGCTCATTTCACTTTGTTTTTTTTTTTTAAATGCCTCCGCTGGGTTTGTGCCTGCTTTCCAAGCTGAGTTCCGAAGCACATTTCAAAAACTTTGGTAAGACAGTGACTGATTACAAGAGGTTTTTTGTCTGTTGAAGCCTTTTAAAGAGAAGCACGAATTTCTGATTTGTTATGTGACATCATTCAGAATTTCAAGCGATTTTGGAAGAAGCGTCCCGCTTTTCCAGCGACGTGTTTCTGTATCTGAGATTTGTTCTCTTCAAAGAAAAAAACGATACAAGTGGACGCGCATGGAGGTTTTCTGCCTTTTGCTATACATCGCTGGCATTGATCGGTGAACAAAAATGCATTCTTCATAGAAAATCAAGAATTTTTTTTTTTTTGGACCAGCGATGAAAATTTGTTCTCTTCAAAGAAACAAACCATACAAGTGGACGCGCATGGAGGTTTTCTGCCTTTTGCTATACATTGCTGGCATTGATCGGTGAATAAAAACGCATTCTTCAGAGTAATTCAAGATATATATATATTTTTTGATGAAAAATGTCCCATGGCACACCTGATGCTCTCTCTCACGGCACATTAACGGTAGCGAGAAAACTCAAGACTGTGAAAAACCCTGACTTCAAGACCAACTCATTCATAATTTTATTTATTTATTTATTTTTTTGGGTGGAAGGAGACAACAACCTGTACGTAAGGTCATGAGATGCATTTTTATGCGCAGGCGGCGCTTACCCTTCATTCTGACCCCAGTCACTGCGAACGCAGAGGTGTTTATGGACAAGATCCGGGGAATAGCCGTCGTGACAGCTGCATTCTCCTGAGACGGAAAGAAAAAAGAGGCGGGAGCTATTTGTTTATTGTCAGCAGCTGAATACATTTCCATTTTGAACAGTCGAAACTCATTTCCCGGCTTCACTTTTACAGAACAGAAAGATTTGAAGGAGCTCAGCTCATGTACTTCACTACAGTAAGGAGCAATATTTGATATTAGCCTATGATGTCAAATACATATATATGGTGTCTTGTTTTACTTCACCCTGCCCGTAAATAAAAAAAAAAAAAATATGCGATATAGGATCGACGACGGCAATTGTGAAGTCTTAGGTCAGATTTCGCCAAACCCTTGACTGTTCTCGAAATAAACAGCGCTCGCTCGGCCCGCTTTTGGAGGCACAACAGTGGAAAAAATGCGTAATGGCCACGCCGGCGACACCATTCACGTTTTATCACCCACTGTTTAATAATTTAGCGACGGAGTTTATAGGCTCGCCGCTCGCTCAAGGGGGAGACGCGTCAGCCGTATAGGATGCGGTTAAAGAGCGGCAACAAATATTCTGATTGCCCTTTGTCTGGTAAATGGAGCCTTGCTGAAAAGCAACATAAGCCGCAATAAAGTTTGGAGAAGGAAGGATAATAGTTGCACCCGAGACAGCGATCCGTTGGATGAATAATTGCTGCTGGTTGCAAAGTGTCAGTCTTCATATGATGATCTGTGGATGGACTATGTGGGTGCCAACTAAAAAAAAAAAAAACTGACATTTTTTTCAAAGCTGTACATAATTTTTTTGTGGATTCTTTATTTCATAAATCTATTTCAGCTCCAATGATTTTTTTTTTATGGCTTCATTTGACGATAAAAGGTGACAAAGGGTTTGCAAAATAAATCAAATAAATCACCAATCAATATTTGAATCATGATGCTTAAAACATTTTTGTCATATCCTGATTTTTTTTAAATAAAATATTATTATTATTATTCATAATAATAAGCATTAAAAAAAGACAGAAAAAGTTAAATAAAACACTAATAAATACAATTAGCTGACGTACAATTAGATTTCAATACAAATAATCGTTCAATTTCCAGGTTTGTGTGACATGCTTTTGTCAAGATACACCAAGGATCGTGAATTGCAGTCTGCGTTTAAGCCTGTTTTGAGGAGGCGATTTTGTCTCGGGCTCAGTTGCGCGCAAGTTGGAGACATCATTTCTAATTAGGAAAACAAAGGAAGCGAGGAGGTTCACGGGTCTTTTTACGAGGATACTTATGATGATGGATGCTGCAATATATTCTTCCTTAGTAGGGCGTTTAACTATGCGGCAGAATGAATTGGCTAATAACGGGGACGGCTCATCCTACTAAAACGATAACTGGAGTCGTCGCATTATTAAGGCGACATCGTCAGGGTAAACGCAGGTTCCGCATTTAACTGCCAGCACCCGGTCTGGGGCGATTGCGTAATTATGTGTCAAAGGGAATCGTGTCTAATATTTTTTTTCCATTTTTTTTTCTTCATACTGTTTTCACATATTTGTAATTGGCATGTTTATGCTGTATTACATGTTCATATTTTTACATTGATAAATGTTCACACTGTATTCCACATCGTAGTTGGTGGCCATTTTCTTGGAAATGGTTATGACGAGCTACCGTTATAATGTACAGAATCGTGATGTAATGAGGTTCAACTGTAACTGTGACATAGTTCATTCCGAATTTCCAGAGAGAGATTCTCTCTGGAAATTAATTGTTCGTTTCCACCACAATCTTCGGAGTGCCCTTGAAACAAGTCGCCGGTGACAAAATAAAGTCAACCTCCAGCCCGCGTGGAAGCCAATCTCAACTCACTTCGTTTAGCGGCGAATGAACATTTCCTCCATCTGGTCAGAGTAACCCCTCGCCCATGTTGACTCGAGACACAGCCGAAGCGTGTCTTTAACATTGTTTTGCTGTGCTGGTGTGGCATGTTGCACTGCTGCGCTGGTAGAGGACACCGATGGAAAGAAGACCGCTTTTGTGAAGAGCACCTTTAACTTTCACTAGAGGACAGATTAGAGCCCCCCTCCCAAGGAGACTCAACATACTTGAGGGCAATCTCTCATCAAATAATCTTGCCGCCGAAAAAAGGACAGACAAAAGGGGAAGTAAATTGGGAGCGACAAGGAGACCGGGCGAGACGAGGAGCATTCATACAAGGAGAATCTCCGAATGCAGCAGGCTCTGATAGAGTAAACGACTCCCAAATTGAATTAGAGTGATTACCGATCTGGGCGCGTAGAAATACACAAGCGGCGAATTGTAGGCGATCCTTAACGCAGCATAATCCACGAACTCCATCGTTGGCATCTTGATGCGTGAGGATGGATGGGAGTATGTGTCGCTCTAATCCATTATGCATCAGCCTTCGACGTTGCCCTTGACCACGGTGACATTAATTCACATACATTACAGATGTAATCCATTCTAATGAGCTTAGTCTTGATGTAGTGGCCACGCAGCGCCAGCAGGAGCGACGCCACTCCAAGCGACGACATGACACTCTGCACTCGCGGCTTTGCTTCAAGTCCTTTTTAACGTCAGCGCAAATATGCTCGGAGATGTTTGACTCGCGAAAGGGTGTCGTTAGGAACCGCGGAACTTTTATTCCTACCCAACCGTGTGGAGCGCGGAGTTTTTTTTTTTTTTTTTCACAACTGGAACTTCTTTCATACCTTTTCGTACCTTTTTTCACAGCCTAAGCTGTGGGTGGGCAATTCAGCAATTCATTTTCTTGAAATAATTCTTTGAGCGCCATCCTAACATGCTCACCAAAACCTTTTTCCATATTAAGATAATGCAATATGTAAAGTGTTTAAGTGTACCGACTTAATGAGCTGCTATTTGTGTGTATTTATTTATTGATGAAATTTTTTTAACATTGCTGTCATTTACATCCATACTTCTATCGCAGTGCCACAAAAAAAAAAAAAAAAAAAGGTGTTTTTTATTGATGAACCGGCTCGCACTAAATCATAACACGGACGTAATTGTAATGTGAAATCGTTTCGCGTCCAGGTGTAGGGACATGATCGCTCCACGATGTTGTGCGTCCATGTTATTAACATTTGCATTCACCAACCTGTGTCCCGGTCGCAAATCTGCTCGCAGGGGTCGGTCGTCCTCTGTCCGCAGTAGTCTCGCACCCACTGCGTCGACGAATTGGTTTGGTAGTACAGGATGAGCTTGGCTGGGTTGAGCCAGTTGGAGACATCCAGGAAGCTGCCCATACCCACCACAAAACTACTTCCTGTATAAGAAAGCGATAAAAAAAAAAAAAAAGTGAGACAATTCCTCTGCGCCAAGAGTTGTCGTACTCATCGTATGGCTTTATTTTTCACGCCGAATTGAAACGCCCCCTTTTGTCCAGACCGTATTTAAATGCGAGCCCTATAAGGCCAGTATTTTATGGCACCTCCTTGATAATTGCAGTAGAGCGAGCGTGCTCATCGGCGCCGAGTTACCTTTCTTTCTTATTGCTCCCGGGCCAATCATTAAACTCTGATCACTGAACAAGATTATCCTTAATTGATGCCAACGACTTTTACTTTCGACGAGGGCGCCGAGGGGGATCGCGGCGAACATAAAGATTCCTTTTACAGCGACGCGTTGCTGCCGACCGGCGGCGGCGAAGAAGGGGAGGCCGGCGGAGGCATTCGGAGGGAGTGCACGTTGCTGCGTAAAGGTCAATACAAAACCTATTCCGGCGCCACAGTAGGGCACAAAAGGCAGCGATCGCATTAACATTCTCTTTCAAGTCGCGGACGGATGAATACAGAAACAGTCACTCGAATCTAAAAAGCGCAAGAAAAGTTCCCGGCTTGGGTTTTTATTCCGGCAGACACATTTTGACACCGCATTAACAGGCCTGCTGTGTTGCCTTCACCTTTGTTGTCGCAATTATTCTTCCACGCTCACACTACATTCGGGCGTGGGCGAACGCTCGCGCTGTACCCTGGAAAAATGTAAACAGCGCCATGAGGGGAATATTCTGCCATGTAAAGGCCCGTGCGTGAAATGCGAGCTTATGTAACGACGATGGCACTTGAGATTGGACCGTTAATACGTTGGAGTGCAGCATTTATGTTTGTTTGTCCATCCGAATGTTAGCGGACCAGATGCTTTGTTCCGGCACAGTGATTGAGGGAAACGTTGAAAAAATAATAATCCATAAGCACTTGATTGTGTCATTGTGCTTAAATGGTGATCACTCTGATTAGTTGTTTCCTAGCGAATCAGTGCATGTGAATATTTTTTATTTCTTTATTTTTTATTTAGAGTAGCTCCTGCTTGTATCAGGAGTGTGTTAGGCAAGGTTCTGCACATTGGTGAACTTTATTTGATTCAACCCTGTCTGCGGATGGTATAATAAACAATGACTTCTCGGTTCCAGAGGGGGTTAAAAAGCAAGCGAATAAGAGCATGAGGACACACGTGCATGTGCGCATGTGTTCCAGACAGAATATATGGAAGAAAAAAACTGACCAAGGCCATTTTCCAGGAGGCGACTGAACAATGACGGCCATAGTGTCTCATCGGCTATTGAAAAGACAACATGTCGTTTCATTTTTTATTTTCTTGAATAAGTGGAAAACAAAGGTCTTTCTCTTCACATCCCAAAAAAAAAAAAAAAAAGGTGGCCAATGTTATTATCTCAGATCATAGATGCTACTGTTCACATGAAGACTCAGTTGCTAACCAAGGCAATGGCACCAAACCCCCTTTCGATCTCACAGTCAGAATGAAAAGTGGGGACTCTTAAGTTCCCTGCAAAGTATAACCAAATAAAATAGTATTTCTCATGTAACATGACTGGTTAACATGGACATGGATCTGGGTCAAACTTTCTATTTCAGTCAAATGAAATTGGAAAAAAAAAAAAAGATGTTGCTCTTTGATCGAGTGCCCACCCATCGCAAAATAACAAGACCTTAGTCGCGCTAATGATGAGGTGTTAAGAAAAAGGGACTCCTTTCTATTCTTCCTTTAGCTTTTTTTGCTTTCACACCGGTACACTTTCACACTTTTTTTTTTGTGTTTTTTTTTTGTTCTTTTGTTGTTGTTGTTGTGGTTCTTGCCAGTCTCCTGCCTGCTATGCCGCCGCGGTCCATTAGTCCCTCCTGTCGAGGTTTGTTGTTTATCCCGATACACATCCTTAGCACTTGTCTCTGACCTACCTTCCATCACTCATTATTTCCCCACTATAAAGAATTTCTAGAGGGTGGCTCACATCTCTGCTCGCCGTGGATCTGTGGTCCATCAACCACAATCCCCTGCCACACACACACACAGTCCACTTGAACCTTTGTCTGGATTTGTTGTTTTTGTGCTTTTTTTTTTTTTTTTCGCTTGCCCACTGACATGCGTCAGCCTTTCAAACTGCTGCTTTGCTCAGCTTCAGCCGCATAGAAAAATGTTGCGGTGAAACAGCAATATGAAAAATGGAATAACATGATGTTTGAAGCACCTTCAGGTTTTTTTTTGGATTTTTTTTTTTCTTCTTCTACTAGGGGTAAGCTAATACGGTCCATGTAGCTATCTTGAAATTAGAACCCTTAAGAGAAAGGCTGCGTCCTATCCAGTGATGCCAATATCCGGCCCTCGAGATCCCCTATCGAGCTCATTTTAGATGCTTCGCTGTTCCAAGACACCTGATTGAAATGATGAGGATTGTTATCAAGCTTGCGCGAAGCTTGCTCGTGAGCTGATCATTTCAATCAGGTGTGTTGGAGGAGGGTAAACCGAGAAAATAAACAGAATAAGGCTTTATTATACGGCGGAGTGATTGGCAACGGGTCAAGCTGCGGGTTAATGGTACCTTCTGTGAAAGAGCGTTTCATTGTCGCGCCTGACGCAAAGTGCCGCTGGCGCAAACGGGTGAAGAAAGACAAATTATCTGGAGTCAATAAAGAAATAAATAAATCGGACTCGTGGAGGGGGAAATCGGAGACCGATGATGCCGCGCGACAAATGCGCTGCGGCGCAGCGGTTGGGAATCGGTGCGTTGGGTGTGTTGATTCGTGATTTTCTTGTCCGCCGAGCCTAATGCACGCGTCGTACTTACCATCTGCGACAAAGTGCTCGGGCACATGGAGCGTGACCTTGACAGTGAGCGGGCAGGAATCCTGCGTGGCGTAGACAATGGCCACGACACAAGTGCTGATGGTAATCAGCGTCAAGGTGACCTTGTTTAGAGGGCTGTGTGGGTGGCCTGCACGTAAACAAAGAGAAACAAGGTTAAATTGTTTGGTATGGCTCATTTTGCATCGATCCAAAGCGTCAACAGATGAGTGGAATCATCAACACTGACACACAGGTAAAAAAAAAAAAACAACAAAAAAAAAAACACAAAACCAATCCAGGATGAAACCCGAGAAGGTCGGAAAGCGGCACCATTGGAGTAGCCAAAATTATGGGCTCCAACACTTCATTTTCAGCTGATCGGAATCAGGGTGATGGGGTTGGGTTTAAAAAAAAAAAATCCTTTTTCACAAGATCTAGCTTTAAGATTTATTATGTAATATATGACTTTTTTTAAAGGTGTTTTGGGGTCACTGTTATTGTTACAGTTTGAACTATTATAAGCTCTAAACATTTTTAATGGGGGGTGGGGGTGGGGGGTCAATTACCAATGGTCTTTGGCCACTCACGGCAGGGATCGGTTCTTATCACTCACAAATCACACGGACGTTCTTCATCCGATGACGTCCGGGTTACAATGACGTATTGAGATAAGATCGAACCCTGATGCAGATAAACATCCAATCTGTCTTCTGACATGATGCATTTCGACGTGAATAAATCGCCCCCGCCCCCACCCCAAAAGAAAAAGCAATCGGGCCACTTTGTTTTCAGAGGTGATTTATGTTGTTATTTTCAATGACACCCTTGCAAATTGGTTATTTTAGTTGCCCTTTGGCTGTGCCACAGCTCCCATTTGCCAAAGTGGGTTCACGGGGAATACAATTAGCCACCTAACCTCCAACTCTTGGTGTTTGTCAGTGTGCACGATTAAAAAAATAAAAAATAAATAAGAAATAATAAAAAAAACTAAATAAGAGGCTTACTGGAAGATGTAAGTTACACGGACACACCTGCGTTGTTTCCAAAGCCCACCCCAAAAGAAAAAGCAATCGGGCCACTTTGTTTTCAGAGGTGATTTATGTTGTTATTTTCAATGACACCCTTGCAAATTGGTTATTTTAGTTGCCCTTTGGCTGTGCCACAGCTCCCATTTGCCAAAGTGGGTTCACGGGGAATACAATTAGCCACCTAACCTCCAACTCTTGGTGTTTGTCAGTGTGCATGATTTAAAAATAATAATAAATAAATAAATAAATCAAAACGAAATAATAAAAAATAACTAAATAAGAGGCTTACTGGAAGATGTAATTTATACGGACGCACCTGCGCTGTTTCCAAACCATGGCAGAAAGTTTGAAAATAGCGCAAGACATCTGAAGGTCAAAATCAAGGGAGCCAAAGTGAGGACAATGAATTACCGTGATTGAATCACGTGTCTATCACAGTCCCAAGTCTGGGAAGGGGCACCAAGTGTTTAGTCTGCGGGGAAAGTGCTGGGCCGGCTAATCCCTTTGTGGGTGTGGGTGGTGTCAGCGGCCTCGCGAATGGGGTCTCTCAATTACTATAAAAGCCTACTGAGTAGACAAAAGCATGTGCACTCACGCTAGCAAACATTTGCTCTACGGCCGCAAACCCGACACACTTCAGTGTTTGTACACGTGCGCGCCGATGGCGAATGTGTGTTCAGGCTTAAGCGCTCGACGTGCGTTTTATCTTGAAATTCCTTTTCGCTTGCGCGTCTCGAGCACTTTGTAAGCGACCGCAAGATGCGGCTTGCTCGTCACCTTTGCTGCGCCGTCGTCCTCTGTGCTGCTCGGTGAAAAACTTTGTCTGGTTGTCGTCCTCCGGCTCTGACCCGGATTCTCCTTGAGGACCAAACATGCCTGCGGTTGCTTGAGAAGATAAGGTAAAGTGGGGGAGTGGGGGGCGGGTAAGATGGGGATGCGACATTGGAATGAGGGAGAAGGAAATCCAATGAGGAAGAGTCACTTGATGGCTAGTTGTGGACATTTGCTTAAATGATCATTTGGCTTTCAGACTTGATGAAGCAGCATGTGGTTCATCAATTGCTATTCTCGTACACAATGTTCGGAGTAACTTTTTAAAAAATTGCATATGGTGAAGCACTGAAGATTGTTTATTCGAGTCTTATGAAAAAAAAAATATTGCCATAACAGGCAGAAAATTTCAACACACACAAGGGGCTGGGCTGAGATTTAAAGTACACACCTCTCAAGTGTGAGCTACACGTGCTAATTACTACTCCACCATTCTGCCGCATATATGTGTCATTTTATTATAATTATGATGTCGCTATGTTTGGAAGCAAGGGCTGCATCCTGGTTTTCACTATCGGAGGAGTCGGCATCAATGTAATCAGTCCGATTTAGTTTCCCACTCGGAATGGATTGCAATAGCGAGGAAAAAAAAAAGTCAATATCCCATAAACTAGTTAAAAGGAGCGAGGCTCCTCGGGCAGTCCAACATGTTTCCCTTTCCCTCAACTTTCACACATTCGGGGCAGTGCTGAGGCTGCTCGAACACACATGACTTTCATTATATTACTCCCAAAAAGTAAGCTGGAATGAACGTGAATAACTTTAGCTTTGAGTGCAAAAAAAAAAAAACCTGAGAGTGCCCGCATGCTGTGCACGGTATACGTATCGGCACATGCCAGTTCAAATGTTAAATAGACTCTATGCATTGTGAGTACACTTCATAAACGAAGCTTTCCCAGGCCACAAATAAAAGTAATGATGAAACTATACGCGAGAGAAAATAAAACCCAGAGAAAGAGCCTTCATGAATTAGCAAGGGGGAAGCAATTTCCCGAGTGCATTAGCAGCTCACTGAACATCAAAATCAATTTCGGGTTTATTAACAACGCAGTCACAACTCCTGCTGCCTGCCGTTTCTGTTTGTTGTCATAAAATAGTCAAACGTCGCATTCCGTTTCTTGCTCACCCTTTAAGTGTGTAAGTGGTTTTCTTTAGTGCTCAGTCATTTTCATTCCCTCAGCACAATTAAAAGGGCAGCTTTTTAATTTTTTTTTTTTTTATATTACACAAACTATACGTCTTGATGATGCATGCATTAGTTGCTGGTTTATTAAAAAAAATCATAATTTATGATATTTCAAGAGTAGCACATAAGAACACGGGCAGATATTCACTCAGGCCTAAAAACATTTCTTAGAAAAAAAAAATATCGACGAGTTCTACAGGAAAATTGAATTCGGTTTCAACATTTCTGGCTCATCATCCGACTGTGTTGAACTGCTCGGAACGGAGGTCCTTCCCTTTGTTAGCGTCCTACTCATCGGCAAGAGTGGCAAGTCAGTCTTCAAAAGGAAGCATTAAAGTGTCATGCAATGCAGGTCTTAGCGCTGAGTCGAGATGCGAGTACGCAATCTTCATTGTGGGTTCCGAGGTAAAAGGAGCATTTACAAGGGCAAAAATAATCTCGGAAGTGGTCCTCGGCGTCCCTCAATCTCATTGAAACCGCAAAAGGCATTGTTGATATCCGTTTGTTGAGCCAGTTCCGTAAGCCGTTTGATTGTTCCTAGCTGTGAGTGTGAGCGCGGATGTTTTTTTTGTCTCTGTGTGCTCTGCGACTGGCTAGCAACTGGTTCAGGGTGTCCCCCATGTGCTGCCCGAAGACGGCTGGGATAGGCTCCAGCACCCGCCGCGACCCTTGTGAGGATAAAGCAGATCGGAAAATGGATGGATGGATGGATGGATGGATTATTATTATTATTATTATTATCATTATTATTTACCCCAATAAAAAAAAATTTAAAAAAAAGATTACCCTCTGTTGGACTTGTTGTGTTTGCCAGCCTCAGCCACCCTCTTCTTAATGTTCATGTCATCTGATAAAACCTTTTATTCTTCCTATAATAACCATAACCAGTGACACTCCATGGGCTGGGGAATAACCCGACTTCTTCAAATACTCCCTTTCCATTAGAAGGGATAATGGCCATTTAGGGGGGTTGGGTTGATAATATCTGGAGGGTTTTGAGCGTTGTGATTGCCTGTGTGTGTGTGCGTGTGTGTGTGTGTGTGCGTGTGTGTGTGTGTGTGTGTTCGACCGCAGATGACAGGCCAATTGTGCTTCCAGCTCACTGCAGCGGTTTGATAAATATAATAGTACCGGCATACATTGGAGATCACACTGAACAAAAATTGTTTTGTACAGTATTTTCCCATCTTCCCTTTTAGCAGTACTCTTGCAGTTCATTTCTTCACTTCAGTTTTTATTTTATTTTTATTTTTTTTTTATCTTTCCGGGTCCCTCTGTGGTGCTATCCTCAAAGCAAAGTCTCTTGAAAAGCATCAACTTCAAATGCCTGCTGGTAAACACGGCATGGCAGTGTGCTACAATGTTCTATTTCTGTATGCAAAAAGCCATATTCGGCTCCGGGATACAATGACCTTTGAGCACGATAAACATCAATACCAGTCTAAGATGAATAATTTAGATGCAAAACAAACAAACAAACAAACAAACAAACAAACAAATGGAAACCCTTCAAACACTATTGTGGTATTAATAATTAAATGAGTTAGAATAACAAAAAACCCATCTCATAGCATTTAGCATTAGCCGTCGCACAACCACCCATGTCACAACATAACATAAAACACCCAATCCTTACTTTTTTTTACATAGGCTCAACTTCTATTTGCCTCGAGAGGTTTTTTTATAAATTGGTACAAGCGTATAACATCTGCTATCTTCGGACCAGGCAGGTCAGAGTGCAATATTTCCATATTTCCTTGGGACAAATAAACACGTTGAGGAGGAAAATACTGCGCAACATTGGAAAGACCAGCATGTACACTGCATTCAGATGCTCTGGCGGTGATAAATACTGCATGTGCAGGTGGATTTATCGCACACAAGAAGCATTCAAACTTGGACATGACCTCATCAACGCTTTCGACTTTTTTTTTTTTTCTTAAACCCCACAGACGTTGGATTTTACGCAACGCAAGTGTCAACTTGCGTCTGTTTTCACATGCGTTTTAGTCACGCTGAGAGCAAGCGTGCGCGTCCGGGGACAACGCGAGCTCGTAAATGAAGCCGACAGGCGCGGCAGGCCCTCACATGGCTATAATCACATTAAGGCGACATCTCGGCCTCTCTGACACCAGCTAAATATGTCCCAGTCAAACTCAATGCGAGGCAGCATGTAAAATCACGCACAAAAGGGGGTGTATGCAGATTAGCCACTTAGGATGCAGAACATGGCATCTGAGAGGCTGCCAAAACTAATCGGAGGAGTCCACTTGGTTGAAATGTACTGGAGTACACACGAACAGCCTGATGAGGGCATTTGTATTTAAGTCATGACATTCAGGCAAAAATAAATTCATGAATGCCATCATTAAATGTGTTATCTGTAATGTACGGTACTAAAGATAACCCTGGAGGTGCAATTTTCGGGATTACCCGCAGTCTTCAAATGCCACATTCAAAAGGAAGACGTACTTGCACTAACAGTATGTCACCGAGTGTATTGAAACAGTGCAGAGAATTGTTTTTTTATGCATTTATCTACTTATTTTTTTGATGATCACGGTTATTGGAAGAGATGGACTGAAATTGTGATCCACTGATATCACCAAAATGTTTTTCGTCCGAGTGAGTCTCCAGACTTACAGAAAAACCTTGAGAGCGTGCGTTTTACCCGTTGAAGAGGGCAACGAAGGGAGCAACACCCGCAAAACACCAAACCACTGACATCTCCGAACTTTACGCCAAAGTCAAACTCCCGACCTAAAACCGATTGAGCCATGTACTGAAGCATCCGGTTTGCCCCACAGGGGAGGTATGCTTCACGCGTTTAACAAATTTTAGCATGTACTACATTCTTCCTTATAAAAAAAAACAAAACATCGGATAACTTCATGTCATACCTCTGGTGTGGCTGGGGACCCTCCGGCGGCTGGTCGACGAGCTGTGGATGACGTGCTGGTAGCGAGAAATGTCTGGCGGGGTTTTGGGAACGCGGAAGCTGTCCTGGAACCGCTGCATCAAATCTTCCACGGCGTCTCTGTTCGGGTCAATGGCTGCGGCGGATGATGGAGAGAGTGAAAACGTCAAAGGCATCACAACACTTGCCAGTGAAAATATGTTTTCAGGAAAAAGTATGGGAAGGATCCTCAAGTCGATTCCGGGGCACGCTCAAAATAACTTGTTTTCGGACGGATTTGGAATGGAAGCATCACATGCCTCATGTGCCGATAGCCCATTTAAAAAAATATATATATCAATCAATAAATAAATGACAATTTCTAGCTTTCAAAGGATTCCATCAATTCAATATTTGCCTCATCTCTCGAAAGGGATCCTGCCAACATTTCCTCTTGTGGCTCGGTCTCAGTCATTCTGATTGATGACACCAGAACTCCTGGCTTTGGGCAAAGTGACCGTGTCGTTGAAAGAGAGAGAGAAAAAAAAAAAGCAGCTCTGCTCACGTTCCTTTCAACTCGAAAAGATAAAAAGGGAGGGTATAAAAGTCAACCGCCATTCCGCAGTGATCTTGCAAAGAATAATGGCGAGACCTTTGTGGCGTTCGGCGGCATCCAAAAAGGCCGGGAACGCTGATGACAATGCACCTCACGCTGTTATTACATTTTGGCATTTAATGGCCTGGCAGGACACGAAAAGTATCACTGAGACACAATAGATTTTCAAATGGTGACCTCTCTAATAAAGCGTTCCCCAATTATCTGCTGGCTACGCTTTCCAATTAAGAAAATAATAATAATAATAATAATTGCCATTTAAACATTATTTACTCGTTTGAAAAAAAGGGTACTAATTATCACAGAGTTATGTTCATACGCAGACATTAAAAAATGAAATGCTGGACCTATTCTGTTATTACGCAAAACTGTAGCATTTACCAATGCAATAGAGTCTAACAGCCCAAGTGGTGTGTGGAGCTGCTTGTTTTAAACTAAATATGCTCGGCTTCCTAAAATAAATGAATAAAGATTTTTTTTCCAGACACCCAACACACACACACCCACACACATACACTTTTGGAACCCTGAGGCTTTTAACGTGACGTGGTTTGTTGAGGATTCATTTATTTTTTTTACTGATAAGCTTCAAGCCGCCAATAGATTTACCCACAGTCTGGTAACATCGAATCAATTCAATTAGAAAACACGTTGAGAGAGTTTGCCCCCCCCATACTGAATATTCAGCAGCCAGTTGAGGTTGGATTGCACACGCATGAGGGAGAGAGAAAGGCTGAAGCCGTGATGGCGCAAATATAGAGAGTCGAGAGAATGGAGTGAAAATAAGGATCTTGGGCATAGGGAACAAGTGCCATAAATACAGCCCTCTCCGAACTGCGATCCCCGTTTCTCTGTCGTTTGTTTGGCGATGCGTTTCCCCAAAATGTAACAAAATGATTTACAGAGGCTGCATGGCTGTGTGGTCAAGCACATCAGCAAAAAAATAAATAAATAAATAAATTTTAAAAAAAGTTGAAAACTAACGAAAATATATGAGGAAACTGTATCCGTGGCCTGCTTGAAAAAAGGAAAATGATTCTCATGACAAACAACCCCACTTCAGTCTAATTTACACTGCGTGCCGAGTGTTTTACATTTGCAGCTTCAAAACATCATCACTCATCAGCTCGTTGCCAGCCCCCCCTTGGCTATCATCAACATTTTTTTGATCTGTACATCTGACAAAAGGGAGCTCTCGCCAGGAATACTGCCGGTGCAATTTGGATCACAATCAAGCATTTAAACAAGAATAAAAAGACAAAAGGAAAGAGGGAGGTAAAGAGGGTAAAATATCCCACTGCGGCACTCTTACGCAACTGAAATTTCCCGTTCCAATTTAAACCGGCAATCAATTTGATGGCAACATTTACCAACTCCTCAGACTTTGACATACTCAAATCAAGACGCCACTGACAATGTAAACATTACGAACGCAAATATCAAAAGCATCTGATTCTCCGTAAAAAGGTTTGTTTCTTTTTAAATGCCAGTGATGTAATGATGATGGAGCAAAAACAGTTGGCGGACATCCTTTTTTTTTTCGGTTCCTGACATCCTCACGTGGTGAAGGCATCGTTCAGGTTCCCGGCATCAAACAAAACCGTGCGTGTTCACGTCACTGCGATGATAGCAATGCGTCTTCATCAACTGGTATTCATTCAGGTCTTAAAACACGCAGCTAACCCCCTTCACCCCCAGCCCCCCCACAAAAAAAGATGAAAGTGCAACATGAATTTCAACTTCCGTTGTGTAATGTGCAGCTGTTTAAGTTGAGAGCAAAAGTGTGTCTTTCTGCGTTCGTTCCGCGGGGAGCCATGTTTCTTTCCCCGGGTTAATGGGAAAAGACAGAACACAGGGAAGGAAAAAAAAATAGTTTCAGACTTATTTTCTTGGTGTGTTGTCGCTTTGGTGGCTTGGCAGTGACTCACTTTTTTTTTTTTTTCCTTGCTCCTGGCGATGTTATAAACTGAAGTGCAGGTATACCGCTACCCGGATTACGAGCAAGGGTTAGCCGTGTGCCGCAGCAGAGCACTTCCAAACAGGACACAGGAACCGTTGTTTCTATTTTCGGGTCCGAATGTAAGTCTTCTCAACCGGGGGATTTCCACTCCACAGATCCAACAAGCCCGTCGCTGTCAAGAGAGGATCTCTCTCAAGACATCCATCATTGTTACTTAGTGTTATGTGAAGGCTGTGTTGAAGAAACTTATGTTGCGCTGTGTGGAGGGATAGAGGAGGGGGGGACGGGAGGGGGGGCAGGTTGCTATGTCATCCGAAGGCTCTCAGCTCATGGAAGCAGGTGATATGAAGGCTACCGCGTTTTGCAGTTTATCTACAGCAAAGCATATGAGTGTGCGACAAGGAAGGTTCGGCGATGCCTTTTGAGGCAAGGTGCTATTCACCGCATCCCTCACTGCATTCCACAACATCTCAAGTGTTGACCTTGCTCTCTCCTTTGAGTCGCTCAAAGGGATTCTGAGCTGAATTCTTCCCTTTGCTTTCCCTCGTCCTGATCCACGGCGAGGTTTTCGGACAGCGAGGGTCACATGTGATTTTTGAAAATGAACGGACGGGCGTGTCATTTGATCATCGGAAACAAGATTCTCAGAATGATTTCGCTGAACCGCGAATGCAACTGAAGAACATTTCTGCCAGCAGAAACCGAAACCTTTGGCCATCTCTCTCTCTCTCTCTCTTGCTCTCTCTCTCTCACTCTCCACTAATAGCACTTGACCCTTATTTCTCTCCGACTCAGGAAGGAAAATGTCCTGTCCAGTTAACGTCAGCATTACCAAGTAAAAATCTGAACTTGTCCTACCAAGCTCGGCATCTCTCCGACTCAGGAAGGAAAATGTCCTGTCCAGTAAACGTCAGCATTACCAAGTAAAAATGTGAACTTGACCTACCAATCTCGGCACCCCCCCGAGCAGGTTGAAGCAGTAAACAACGCGGCGCCAAATCTGGAGGACACAGCTCCGAATTCACTCATCGACAGGTAGACAGAAAGAGCCAGCGCGACTTCCTCTCTGGTTCATTCAAGTGCTCTTTGGCATGCCCTCATCAAATTATACAACCAAAATAACAATGGAAACGCGTTTTACGCGCCATGCTTGAACAAGCATCTCCATTCACTGGCAAAAAAAAAATAATAAAAGCTGTCCTTATAAAACAACACATCCTCTTCTGGCCACACCATTTTTTTGTCACTGACAGTTAGCTCATTGCTAGTTTCCAAAGGTTTATGGCCATCACACGACTCCAAAATGGAGTACAAACCACTCGTCATTTCAAGTTTCTCGAAACAGAATCTGTTTTTGACAAAGCATGCATCAGAAGGCTTGCTATTGCACTATCGATGGGAAAAAGAACAAAAAAAAACCAAACTCATTTGCGCATAGCCAGTGAAAGCCGATCCAGACAGCTGCAAGCACTTGACCCTTATTTCTCTCCGACTCAGGAAGGAAAATGTCCTGTCCAGTAAACGTCAGCATTACCAAGTAAAAATGTGAACTTGACCTACCAATCTCGGCACCCCCCCGAGCAGGTTGAAGCAGTAAACAACGCGGCGCCAAATCTGGAGGACACAGCTCCGAATTCACTCATCGACAGGTAGACAGAAAGAGCCAGCGCGACTTCCTCTCTGGTTAATTCAAGTGCTCTTCGGCATGCCCTCATCAAATTATACAACCAAAATAACAATGGAAACGCGTTTTACGCGCCATGCTTGAACAAGCATCTCCATTCACTGGCAAAAAAAAAAAATAAAACCTGTCCTTATAAAACAACACCTCCTCTTCTGGCCACACCAATTTTCTGTCACTGACAGTTAGCTCATTGCTAGTTTCTGAAGGTTTACAGTCATCACACGACTCCAAAATGGAGTACAAACCAATCGTCATTTAAAGTTTCTCGAAACAGAATCTGTTTTTGACAAAGCATGCATCAGAAGGCTTGCTATTGCACTATCGATGGGAAAAAGAACAAAAAAAAACCAAACTCATTTGCGCATAGCCAGTGAAAGCCGATCCAGACAGCTGCATGAGAACTAAGCATCAAACTCTTGAATCAGCGGATGGCCCACCTGCGAGCTTCATGACGACAAGCGGTCCCGAAAATGGACTGATGGACTTGAGCTTATTCAATGACGAAAAGCAAAAGATTACAAGGCTCAACTTCCTTCATGTCAGTTGGTCAGCCATGGGCAAGGCGACACGCTTACAAAAACAGTCGAGGGCTTCTATAGAAAAAAAGAACGGTCTTGGGACTTTGGGGAAAACCGGTCCGGTATTTCTGACAAATGACAAAACTTAGGAGATGATAACCGAGCTTCCACCAATTTTCTCACAGCAGAAAGGCTCACTGAAATTCAAAGCGAGCATCAAAGTAAATGTCAGCATGCCATTTATGCCAAGTTAATGGCAACTCTTTTCCGCATGCATCCTATTTGTGTTCTTAGCCATCTTGAGTGGCACCTGAATTTGTATTCATGCGAGCACATGCAGCCACAAGGGAAATGATGGGGAGGGTTTCTGAAGATCATT